GGGGGCTGCTGTGCGGCGCGCGGCCCGGCCCGCTCCCGCTCAGGTCGCCTCAGGTTAGCGCTCTGCCAGGTTCTGCCCGGCGCGGGGCCCCGCAGCCGTGTGAAGGTCACGGTAGGGAGGCTCCGGGCGCGGGTCGAGCGGCGGAGAAGCGGTTCCGCCGACGCGGCAGCCTGGTCCCGCCCGGGCCCCGCGACCCCTGCCGACCTTGGGCGTGCGGGTGCAGCATCGTGCTTCCGCTGCGGCAGGGGCACCGGGACCCACGGCGCGGGGCTGCGGGCGGGCGGGCGCGGGCAGGTCGCGGAGGGCGCGCGCCGACTGTGTCCACTTAGCCCGCTGCCCCGAGTGACCTCAGTCTGACCTCGGTCATCGGCTCGTGACCTTGGCCGACCCCAGCTCACTTCGACCCGGGCGCCGACTCCGCATCTCCCGTGCCCGAGCCGGCGGTCAGCGCGCTCTGGGTGGGCGGCGGAGGGGAGTGGACAGGCCCGGGGGCCGGCTGCCGGCGGGCGCTGAGCGGGGCCCTCTTGCAGGCAGCGGCGCTGTCGTCGAGGGCCGGCCAGTCGCGGGGCCGGAAGGTGCTGCTGTCCGCGCTGGGCATGCTGGCGGCGGGCGGGGCCGGCCTGGCCGTGGCTCTGCACTCCGCCGTCAGCGCCACCGACCTGGAGCTGCACCCCCCCAGCTATCCCTGGTCGCACCGTGGCCTGCTCTCCTCGCTGGACCACACCAGGTCTGTGGCTGCGGGGATCGTCTCGGGGTGTCTGGGGCTGCGGGGATCGTCTCGGGGTGTCTGTGGCTGCGGGGATCGTCTCTGGGGGAGTGCCAGGGCAGCCGTGGGCAGTGGCACCCCAGCCCTCTTCCCTCTCACCTCCCTAGCATCCGGAGAGGTTTCCAGGTGTACAAGCAGGTGTGCTCCTCCTGCCACAGCATGGACTACCTGGCCTACCGCCACCTGGTGGGCGTTTGCTACACAGAGGAGGAGGCCAAGGCCCTGGCTGAGGAGGTGTGAGCTCGTGGGGACACCCTGGGCTGGGCTGCTCACCGTGGTGGACAGAGCAGTGATGGGCATTTGGCTGGCAGGTGGAGGTACAGGACGGCCCCAACGAGGACGGGGAGATGTTCATGCGGCCAGGGAAGCTGTCAGACTACTTTCCCAAACCCTACCCCAATCCTGAGGCTGCTCGAGCTGCCAACAATGGGGCTTTGCCCCCTGACCTCAGTTACATTGTGCGAGCCAGGTGAGCGGAGTGGGTGAGGCGAGGTGGGGGGTGAGGCGGGGTGCCTAGAGGAGGGGCTGACAGGCTAGTGCTGATCTGGTCCTAGGCATGGCGGCGAGGACTACGTGTTTTCCCTGCTGACCGGCTACTGTGAGCCACCCACTGGGGTGTCACTGCGAGAAGGCCTCTACTTCAACCCCTACTTCCCTGGCCAGGCCATTGGCATGGCCCCCCCAATATACAATGAGGTGCTGGAGTTTGATGATGGTGAGTAGCAGCCTTTTCCCACGTTGGCTACAAGCTACCTGGATGTCTGAGGGGGGCCTTAGTAGACCTGTCTTGGCCCTGTGAGGAGGGCTGTGCTCGACAGGGTCCTCAAGGGCAGCCCTCACCAACTTACCCTCTGCCCAGGCACTCCAGCCACCATGTCCCAAGTGGCCAAGGATGTGTGCACCTTCCTGCGCTGGGCGTCTGAGCCAGAACACGACCATCGCAAGCGCATGGGGCTCAAGGTAGAGATGGTGGGGAGGGATGGGAGTTGGAGGGATCTGGCCCCTCCTCCTGAACCTATCTCATCCTTTAGATGATGATGATAATGGGCTTACTGCTGCCCCTGGTGTATGCTATGAAGCGGCACAAGTGGTCAGTCCTGAAGAGCCGGAAACTGGCATATCGGCCACCCAAGTGACCCTGCCCAACACTGGCTGCTGTTCACCTCAACAGGCCTCCTGCCTGGGAGCTCTCCTGGGCCTGGTGAGACCTTGGCTAGACCACCCACCCAGACGCTTCCGTCTCTGAGGCGAGAGGGCAGGGGCAGACCAGGTTCTAGCCCCATTTCCTCCTTCCGCTCCATCATGGGAATAAATTAAATTTCTAAACACACATGTATGAGAAGTCATGTATAAGGGAGTACAGATATTAAGGGCTCTGGACCATGGTCGTCTGCTGCACCTGAGGTATGCGCAGTGTCATGGACCAGCAGGTGGATGGAGTCCATGCATGTAGGAGAGAGCAAGAAAGATACCCAGGTGCTCACAGGAGGTCCAGACATGCCTGTCATTCAAGAGCAGGTATAGGTGAGGGTGAGGGGAGTATGGGGACACCTGAACTGCTCCCTTTCAGTGGTTCTGTGGGCAGTTCTGCCTCACAGGGTGGATGTGGAGGGAGGCTCCTGGCTCACAAGCTCTGCTTGTCCAAGATGGACTAAAACACCCATTACATGCCTCACTGTTGACCACAACTGGGCTGAGTCCAAGGGCAGTAGTAGCCAGTGGAAGGAGGGCAGTGGGTGTGCTTGAGAACAGCCAACTCCTCCTGTCAAATCCACTACCATCAAGATAGAAACGCATCTGACCCTTTTGGGTTTCTGAGGTAACCTCTTCCCATGCACTTACAGCCTATCTTTCCTCCACTGAGCTGCTGGTGGGTTTGAACCACCATGGTCTTTGGGTGAGTGGTGCAACTACCGAATTCCCCCAGCAGACAGAGTGGGGGCAGAGCCACCTGTAGGGGTGTATTTAGCCCAGCACTGAAGCCCCTGAGCCTAAGCACATGATCAGCATCCAGAGGGAACTTGGTCATGACCCACTGAGGGGCTGCCTCCAGCTGTGGAGCCCCAAGCTTTGACCCTTCTTCCTGTCCCACAGGTCTGTGCTCACAAAGCACTAAAGAACACAGCAGGCTTAGCAAGGTTTTTAATGTCTCACTTGTGGGCTTGGGATACACGAGTCAGCGAGATCCCCTGGGGGAGAAAGGCTGTCTTCCCTCATTATGTCCTATGGGGAAGCAGGGGTGGGGTGTCATGGCCTGGAGTTTGTGTGCATGGCTACCCCTCCCACGTTATGCCCCAGCCTCTGATACCTTTAATGGCTGCTGGGTGCAAGCTGCAGGAGAGTCCCAGGCTCTTGGCCTCTGGGTGCTGCACATCTCACAGCCAGGCCGGCACGAGGCATTGATGAAGGTGCAGGAAGGGCAGGACCAGCCGGGCTGGGACACCAAAGGTGCTGCCTTTTACTCCAGGAGCCCGCTGGATACCACCCTCCACTGTGCAGCCCTATTCTTGCAGGGCATCTTGCCCGCACCCCACCCCCATGCCCAGCTCACCTGAAGGGTCCTGGGGAGGCTGGAGTTGGTGGGCTCCCGGGCTCGGGGCAGCCCCAGTGACTGGGGAAACAGACGGCCCAACTCCCCATCGGTCTTGCAAGGGCGCCGAGGACTGCATCCTGTGGGGAGGGAGTCCTTTAGGACACATTCCACCCATCACCCACCCACCCTCCCCAATCCCAGAACTGACCTAAGGCTTCTTGAGGGGCTGAGAGCAGATAGAGGAGTGCAGGGTCCCCATCACGCTGCACGCCATAGGAGGCAAGGCTGCGCTCTGGCACACACAGGCACCGCCCCACCACCCAGCGCTGTACGCCCGGTGGGAAGCCAAACTCGGAGAACATCTGGGGCAGAGGTCACAGGGTGAGGTCACCTACAACCTGACCCTCCCCCAGGGCCCACCCAGGGCCTCTGTTCACCTGCTCCTGTAGGGCTGCGATGGTGCAGTGGGGGTTGACCTGGAGTGTGACGTGGGCAGATGATGAGGCGTCTTCAACTGTGACTTGCAGCCTGAGCCAAAACCAAAGTCAGAGGCCAGGCCAGACATCCACCAGCCTGAGTAACCTCAGTCCCCACCTCACCTGATGGGGCCAGGTGGGTAGCAAGACTCCTGGAGCTGGATACTCAAGGCCACATGGCACTGAGCCAGGGCAGCCGCCGCTTGGGCTGCACCCTTCTCATCCCCGCTGGATATAGCGTGGGCCAGGCGCCCCACCAGCTCTGTGAGGAGAGGAAGAGCATGATGCAGCTCAGGCCTTCCCCTGTAGTCCTCCACTCATCAGATCACACCCCTGTGATCTTCCATCCCTCAGGCCCCCACGCTTACCTTTCTGCATTGTGTCTCCAGACCACGAGGGAGAATCCCCCTGAGGTTGGGGGGCCAGGGGGGGAGGGGCTTCGGGGAAGCTGGGAGGGAAAACAGGGCAGGTCTCTGGGTCCTGGGCTGGGGGCGGACTGCTACTGCCTAGGAGGGAAGACAGGGGTGGTCTGCTGTCCCTGGATCAGTCCCTGCCCAGTGCTTCCTCCCAGTGTCCAAGGCACCTCTCACCCGATCTTGAACATAAGGCCTGATCTCTGTCCTCCACATCCAACCATGCTTGTGAGCAACTCGGCCACCTGTCTCCCATGCCTCCCTTCACCTGTGGCCTGGCAGCCCCTCAAAGGCTGGAGCACAAAGCTCATTCTCAGGCCCTGAGTCCTGTAGGATCACTCTGCTGTCTGGTCCCACTTTCCCCATCCAGAGAGATGTGGCCACCTCTCCTGACCTCCATGGACTGCAAAGGTAGGGCAAAGCCAAGCCCAGACTGGACTTGACCACCTGCAGCCCTTTTTGTCCGGTTCCACACAGCACAGAACTGCTGTGCTCCATGCAACTGCCTCTAAGCAGCTTTTCAGAGCTGGACTGCACTGCGTGTCCTTCACAAATCTCACTGCAGTGGGCCTCCCTGCTCAGATGGGAGGGAGGTACTCTCATGAGCAGCTCACCCTGGTCTGCGTTAAGCCACAACCAGAGGCACCTCAGGGCTTCTTGGGTCATGTGGTTCACACCATGACCTTCTACTTCCATCCAAACATCACCACCTCGGTGAGGCCTTCCTGGCAGCCCTTCTGGCTCTAAGCTTCTCAAACCCTCCACCACGCCACGGGAACTGTATTTGCTTTTGTCTGCACTTACTCCCTTTCCAAAACGCAAGCTCCTGGCCAAAAGGACTTTGTAATTTGCTGTCGAATTTTCACAGGTCTGAATGAAAAGCCGAGCGAGGGTCAGGAGCTGAACACACACGATGAACAAATGGAAAAAGAGGAGAGAAGACAGCTCCCCGTCTAGAGAGGCTGGCTGCCTGGGCCTCTCATCCTGGTTGTGATCTTGACTGACCTCTATCTCAGCTTGACCTCACTTGAGCCCTGTCTCTGCCCCAGACCTGGCTGTTAGGGCCAGGCCCCTACCTGTGAGTGCTGCTGTCCCTGATCCCTCTATCTTCCTCTAATATCGCCAATTCCATCTCCTAACAGCCCTGTGAGCATTGTTCTTTTCAGCCCTTCCCATACCGCTCGCAGATTAACAGAAGGCTTTGCCAGTCTCAGATGCCACAAGCCTCAGTTGACACCGTCCTGTAAATCTCAGTGCTCCAGGGAGCACCTGGGCCCTAGACAGCTCTGATAGCCCAGGCCTCGGTTCTGCTCTTCTGGGTGCCTGCTCAGTCCCCAGAAGTGGCTGGGCTAGACCCTGCTTCCCCTGCCACCGCTTCATCCAAGACTCTCCTGGGATGACAGTTCCAGGCAGTGCCAGGGCACTTTTTCACCAGGATACTAACCATTTTGCCTCTCAGAGGAGGCGCCTCGGACCAGCGCTGCCCACCGCTGAGCTTCCTGAGCACTGGTGAAGAGGAGGCTGAAGGCGCCGGGCCCTCCCGGTGGAGGCTGCAGCTCATGCAGGCAGGGGCCACGGACAGTATAGGAGACCGCCTCTAAGGGCCACTCCAGGCTGACCTGAGAAGCAGCAAGCAGTGCCCCTGCTCAGCCCCGCAAAACCAAAATGAAGGCTCAACATGTGCAAATCCCTTCCCCTCGGCGCCTCTAGGCAAGCCATCCTACCACCTTCTAAAGGCCAGTACCAGTGACACCGGTAGTGGACGCGAAGGTGATTACTCAAAGGCACGCCAAGTAGCAAGCGGCGGAGCCCCCACTGGCCCCGTTCGCCATCCCGGGTGCCGGGCACCTGCTCCCCGCCCCGCGCCTGTTCCCGGTGAGCCCGCTCACCATCCCGAGCCCCGCGCCCGCTCCTCGTCCCGCGCCCGTTCCCCGCGCACCTGCTCCCCGCCTCTTCCCCGCGC